AACAATTTGAAAAAATTAAAATATTTACATTATCTGAATATTCATAAACATTGGTATGATGAAAATGTTAATTAAATCTAAAGCTATTTTTCAACAGAACCAAAATTTTCCAACTTTTCAATGTCATCTTCGTCCTTTTACAAGTGAAAGAGGATACATTTGGTGTTTAATAATCTAGATATATACCTTTTTAAACACGAAAAACCGTCTCGGTCTCTGCGCAAATCGGCAAAGATGCAAAGATCGAGGCGTCCCGAGGCTGGCGCAAAGTTTAATTATCTTCCAGGAATTTAGTAATTTTCCGTTTTAACATGCTTCCCAACAGCTCACTTGTTCATATATATTGCTCCCCGTCGTCGCCTCTCGTTGTCTCGCGTTGTATCACGATTTTCGACCCCTCTGACATTTCTACTCTTGTAACAATACAAACCTCTTTTCAAAAGAAAAACCAAGGAAAGACGGGGAAAAAAAAAGAAAGAAAGAAAAAAAAAAACTTCCTCCCTGGAAGATTCCAGAAGATAACAGTGCAAACAAGTGTTTTTAAACGCTCAAGGGCGCCATTTAATTATTCCACAGGAATTCAGCAATTTCCCGTTTTATCGCCATCATGGTATCGTTCTCAACCTTCACGGAGGGCTTCTTCCAGAAAACAGGAAACGATATTTTCGCTCTAACCTATCGAGATGGAGGAGGGAGGAGGGGGGCGAGTTATTCGTTTCGACCATCACAGAGTCATGGGCGAGCACAGTTCGGAAAAGTAGTTTTTCGAGAGGCGTAACACAATAGCCGGCGGGACATCTTGGCCGTGGAAAATAAATGGACCGATTTACGAGCCCTCCCCTCCCCTACGGGGAGTGCACGGTTAATAAAATCTCGGCTATGTCGATACATTTTCCTCGGACGTTCAACCATCCTCTAGCACAAAGAGGTTATCACTCGAGATGGCTGTTGAGAAGATTGGTTGAGATCGAGTGTTTTAAGTCTTTTAATTCTATTTTCTTTGCTGTATGCTTTCGTATGATTTAGCCATTTTAGCACTTGAAATACCAACTGTACTGGCATTCTTACGTAGATTAATTTTGACAGAAAGATATTTATAGCTATTTTGCGAAAATATTTCAATACTATCTCATTTGATTCGAAAATTTTGATTTTTATGAAAATTTGTAACGTTGCGCGTGTGGAGTTAGATCTGTAGATAGAAGAGATAGAAAATTATGCTTTTGAGAGAATGAGAGTTTATCCTTTTTCATCTTTAAATTTCGCTTGAGGATATTTTTTATAATAATAGAGATTATAGAGTTTGAATATTTTATATATTTGAAGTTTATTTCAAAAATTCGCATAAAAATATGTACTCTGTTACATAGTAGCAGTATTACGTAGTAACAATAATATTTTCGAAATTTAAATTTGTGTATATTTTATTATATAACAGTTTTATTTACAACAAGCATTCAAATATTTTTTAAGCAAGCCATCATTAATGATACAAAAAATATTTTTTGAAGAATTTAG